TCATCAGTAGAGTTTCTGTTATTGTTTCTCTTGCTGCTCCTAAGCTATATCTTTATTCATTCCACAACTGTGCAGGTAGACTGGTTGAATAAATTTATCTCAGATTTATGGCCTTACCTTGATAAGGTGATATTCTGATCATTAGCCATCGTTCTTCTTGATTTATTCCGTTTCCTTTATGTCTGTCTGAGACATGAGTTTAACATAATATGCAGGAAATTGGAGGTATGATAAGAAGTGTGGCTCAACCTATATTTTCAGAGTACATTGGGAAGTTTCAGATTGAATCAATTGAGTTTGAGAAAATAAATCTGGGAACTCTTCCTCCTATTTTTTATGGTGAGTTTGCTCCCAGCATCATCTAATTCGCTTTACTGCATAAATCGTGGGCGCAAATTGGTATTGATCCAAAAAAGAAAATTCTAACATCATTTGATGCCCCCAAAAAGAAAGAAAAGATATCATATATAATACCTAAGCTTCAAGAAATTTTGAGCAAAGCTTGTGACCAAGAAATCATATTGATATATAATTGTATGCATTGTAGTGGAACGATCACATTTCTAGTAGCATAAAAAACATCATTCACTTGTCCTTGTGTTGTTATCAATTATTTTGGTTTACAAATTTTCAGGTCTTCAAGTCTATGAGACTAATGAGAAGGAATTAATACTAGAACCATCAATTAAATGGGCTGGCAATCCCAACATAATTTTGGTGGTAAAAGTTCTGTCTGTACCTATTACAATTCAGGTAAGAAGAGCCTAAGGAAGTATTCCTTGACATAGGAATGAAGAATTTTATTTTCTTCAATGTGGATGCGTTTGTTTCAGAAATTTGATTAAACTTCATTTCAGTTAGTAGATCTACAAGTATTTTTAGCACCAAGGATAACTTTGAAACCTCTTGTGCCTGCCTTTCCATGTTTTGCAAACATTGTGGTGTCTTTGATGGAGAAGGTAAGCAGAGGCTGTAGTTAACTTGTATCCCTTTTCGTACCTTAAATAGGTTCGATAAATAAGACAAGTTTCATATGCTGAATTTCTCTGAACTGTCTGCAGCCTCATGTTGATTTTGGAATGAAAATATTGGGAGGTGACATCATGTCTATACCCGGCCTCTATCATTTTGTTCAGGTGCTGCACTGGTAATACTTTCATGGGGAGTTGGGATTTTTTCTGATTGTCTGACATGTGGATGGTTGGTTGGATATGAATCAACTATGTAAATATAATTGCCTGCAGGAGACTATTAAGAAGCAAGTTGCAAGCCTCTACCTCTGGCCCCAAACTCTTGAAATACCTGTTCTTGACATTTCGACGTAAGTTAATTTGAGATGATACACGTTCCTTGCTCAGTCACTTTACGGAAATATTTTGAGCAAACTATGTACTTTTTATTCATACAGAGTGGCCATAAAGAAGCCAGTGGGAATATTACATGTGAATGTTGTTCGCGCAACTAAACTCTTGAGGAAGGATATCTTAGGATCATCTGATCCTTATGTCAAGCTCAGCCTGACTGGAGATGGGCTACCAGCAAAGAAAACGACTATCAAGATGAAAAACTTGAACCCTGAGTGGAATGAGAAGTTTAAGCTTATTGTGAAAGATCCCAAGTCCCAAGTTCTTCAGTTACAAGTCTATGACTGGGACAAGGTTACCTCTCTTTACTTCTTTCAAATTAAACACAGAAATTGAAGCAAAGAAATAGTGTAGTTACGTGTTAGGTGTTTGTTTCTGATCATTTGCATTTGCTCTTCCAGGTTGGGGGGCATGATAGGATAGGAATGCAGTTAGTTCCTCTCAAACAGCTGACACCCCATGAGATGAAGGAATTTAAGCTCGATTTGCTCAAGGACACAAATATTACTGATTCTCATAGCAAGAAGCAAAGAGGGCAGCTTGTGGTTGAGCTAACTTTTGTGCCTTTCAAAGAAGACACAAGCAAATATAGTGGAAAATTCAGTGGACCTATTGAAGCTTATAGGAGAAACGAAAGCGAAATTGATATGTCAATATCATCAGATGAGGGTACCCTAGGTGGATCAGGTGTACTATCAGTAATGATCCAAGGAGCCGAGGATGTCGAGGGGAAGTGTCACAATAATCCTTATGCCCTCATCCTCTTTAGAGGAGAACAGAAGAAAACGCACGTAAGTCTTGGTTTTAATAAATATGAACTCTTTGCTACTGTCAAATTTTGGTTTTAAGCAGCAATTTCATAGTCTCCTAGATAAGAGTGGATGCTATTTTCCATTTCAAGACAGCAGTATGAGTCTCCAAAGCTGTGTTAGCAAAGGTGTATTTCAAGTTTGTATGCCTGGTTATCCATTTCACCCTTATATGACACAAATTTGTTTTCTTCAGATGCTTAGGAAAACTCGTGATCCGCTCTGGAACGAGGAATTTCAGTTCATGCTGGATGAGCCTCCTTTGGACCAGAAAGTTCACATTGAGGTTCTGAGCAAGAGGACAGGCATTAGTTTCCGGTTGAAGGTGTGTGAGTTCAACCACTTATAATTAGCAATTAGTAGTGGCAACAATTTCTGCACATAAGTTACAAGCATTTGAACTTTTAATTCTGTTTTGACCGAGTAGGAATCGTTGGGGCATGTGGAAATTAATCTTAGAGACGTTGTGCACAACGGCCGGATCAACCAGAAATACCACCTAATCAATTCAAAGAATGGGATGATACATGTTGAGATTAGTTGGAAGATGATTTGAGGCATATGGAACCTGGAAAGCTAGAGAGTGGTCTAAACTCTGAAAGAAAGCACACAAACCCTTCAGGCTATGAACATGAGTCAATCTTAGTCTGGGAAGATTATTGTTGGCCTAAATTTATTAGAGAGGTAAAATATCAGGTCACGTTCAACACTGAAAGATTATGTACTTATATATTTTGTTTAATGAACTCCATGTTTGGATGCAGAGCTCAGAAACAGAGAGGAGAGGTGGATTTGTTTGCTTATACTAACGCTGAAGCTGTGAATAAAGATTTCAGAGGGATGGACCTTGGCCCATCACTAGCAACATCGATATTGTCCCCAACCTAACCACCTGTTTAGCAGGTGTGGGGTTTTATACAAAAGACCTCGATGTGTGGAGCTATTCATTATATGAGACTTTCTATTTTGTTAAATTTCTAATGTGGGACTGCGTGTATTCTTCAACAAATACAAGTGTTTTCTTTGTTGTAACTCGCTAGAAATCCACACAAATAATGCACATCATATGTTCGATTTGGCTTTCCAGATTGACATCTGCAGATGTTCAGAGACAACAAGAATAATCTTTCATCATAATTAATAAAATGTTTTCTACAATCCAACAATTAGCAATCTCAAAAGCAAATGTGAACACAATTTTATATCTAGCAAATCTAATATTTTATACATAATGCAGAGAACTAGCATGCTAATAGTTAATCTATTTGTGAGTTAGAACTCAGGAAGGCTTATTCATGATGATATCTGATGTCAGTCTTCCAAACATTTGACCCTTTTTCCCTAAATAATTATTATCTTAAGACCAATCTCTTAGACCAATCTTAACGTGCCAAATGGCGTCTTTAAAGATTACAATCAAATTAATATATGACTTTGGCATATAACCTTTTGTGTTGTCGTAGGTTAACAGGCTGACTTAGTTGTCCAAATAGAATATTAGAATATAATTGAATATTATAGAGCTCATTAGAGGTAGTTAATGACTTTTATTAGTTGGCCACTAGTAGTGTCCTAGATCTCTCTCTCCAAGAATTATAGATTTCTTCAGTCATGTGTGTGACTCAGAGGCATATTCTATCGAATTTATATTGTTATTTTCGTCCTGCAGTGCACATATCAAAGTTTAATCGATCTGTCTTTTATTTCAAGAGCTGTTATTAGCACTCTAATAAAATTATTATATACTCTTGAAGTGACCGTATAGCGAATTCATTCATTCGTAACATTTGAATTTAAGGCAAATTACCATATGATACCAAATCACTTTTAATTAACATTTACTTAGTTGTTTTGATATCCCAATTACATACATAGCGACCATATCATTTTGTGGAAGATATTTATTTATCTCCCTATGAAAGTATACTTTATAATTATTTAGCAAATAATCGTCATTGCTATTACAAATAATTTTGGGTCTATTTTGGGTCACCAACTCGACAAATGTCGGACCACAAAAGATAGAGCCATGGAAAGCAAGTTGGTGAGTTGACAGGAAAGACAGACAAGG